ATATTTTTTAGGCGTATTTTTATTTCCCTCACATATTATTTTTCCTCTTCCTGATATTTATGAAATCACGTCCTTCATTCAATGACCCGAAGTGGACTAGGAAGTTAGGCGCATTTCCGATTTTTTTCATTCTCCTGGGGATTGCGAAATAATTAAGAACTTTGTGGTCACTCGAATTCAACAGCTAGCCCATCGATAACCATTTTTGCGATTTGGAGATGCATGAATAATCCACCGGAATCAAGGCATCTGCTCAAATAAAAATTGTCTTGATCTTCCGAGAATCAAAACAAGGTCCGTGGGCGATTTTATTTTTTTAACACACCTAAAAAGAAACTTCAATGTAGAATTTTGACCGTTATAATTGCAAAAGAATTTGAATTATTGGAACGAGTAGAAATTAATCCATCGTAAATTCGCACCACCATGTGACAGTGATTTTTCTTTTGGACTATCACAGGACTTCAAACGTTAGTTCCCCAAGCCTCCGCTATTTTGAAAAAACAAAAACTACAGTACTACCCGTACTTTCGAAAAGAAAAACTGAATTTCTAAATTAATGGAAATCCCCGGAAGAATATTCATGGACATCTCGAGAGTTCCTGGCCGGCAAAAGGCGATAACGAAGTCATGGATATCATCTGAAAACCGTTGAACGACTCGACTGACGCATTAATTGCCCCTCACAAACACGCATTGAAAACACCTTTGGTTATCCCAGAAATGAAAAGATAAAATGCGGTTGGAAGTGTAAAAAGCCTCAACCCCCAATCTTTATTATTATTATTATTCTTTTCTCTTCGAACCACAGTATCCACTTTGTCTGTCACCTCGTTCATCGTCGTCTGGCCCACCTCAACCCGTCTAGTGAAATCGACAGGAACGAACTATGCGTCCAATTGCCACACGACGCAATTCCGAATCATTATCTCACACCTGGCTGCTCACAAAGACCAATTAGCGAGATACGATAAGCATCGATGCAAATTTGTCGACGTTTCATTTCGAAGCAACTGCCGTCATAAATCATCCGGCGTGTCCCCAACCAGAATAACCTGCGGCAACTAATTACAGTACCTGTACTTGATTATACTTTTTATCACATAAGTAAATATGGAATTTTTACCGGCAATACGATACCGTAGTTAAATCCCAGTACTTCTCGTACTCCCAGTTCTGTTATCCTACAAGCTAAAAAACAGAGTACGAAAGGATACTCGGACAAGGGAATCGTATCTGATTCCGGAATATTTGGAACAGGCATTTTTGAACTTCCTATAATCAAAATACGATGCGCTCAAGAGAGCAATTGAACACGAAAACAGTACTAGGACAGGTCGAACACATACCTGTACAAAATCAAGTACTGTACATGTACTGTGCGGAATGCTGACTGCGCTATTGAACCAATTCTGACCTGACAATCTACATATTTCTTTCGTTAAATCTCAACTAAACTGAAATTTATACATCACTTAAACGTAAACTTATCTACTTTACGGCAATTAAATCGATATAAATATGATCAAATCAATATAAACTCAACGGAATCAAAATATATTCAACCAAAAAATGCAATCCGAACAAAATAAAACTGAACAGATCAGTAGGAAATCTATCCAAACCAAGAAAATCATAACTTTAACTACGTTAACCTAATTTTAATAGCTCAAAAATGATAGAAATGTTATGGGGCTTAATATTTGCGTCCCCTTTTTATAATTTATTTATTTTGTATATTACACGGTAGCTCTCTTGGAACTTCCTTTTCTCGTGAACAAGCATCAGGAAATAAAGTCTCTCATACCTCCGCAAAATACAGAAAATATCCCAAATGTCAACAAAGCCGACAGAAAAGCTCGCATAAACTTCAAGGCTTCACTGTGAGTTGACCTTTCGAAAGGCTACAATTTAAAGTATCCGTTGAACGAATAATCATTGACAGTCTGGATAAATTACGGGTAGGTACAAAAACAATCGCACAAATCTCCTCGACTTTTATTAGCATATATAAAAGAAAGACTGTAAATTACGCGGGGAAGTCGCGGTCGAGTCGGCGTCGTTTCGCAATGGGGTGCACAAACTCAACATATTTGTTTGTTTTTTTTCAACTTCATCTTTCTTTTTCTTTCGAGCAAATGAGGCAAGCATTCAGGTACTGGAAAGGAAAGCAGTACCTGGCTTTTGTAAAACGAACTCGCCACGAGCTTCCCGGCAGCATCAAGGTAAATAGCCGAGGGCAACAAACTGGAATGAACGAGCATTTTGCTCCCCCGAGAGAAGAGCTATTCCCGGTCAAGAGTTTCGCTGAAAGAGGTTATTCGGTTACTTCTTTGTTGTATTTTTTGTTTTTATTTTTGCTTTTGTCTTCATCCCAGAGCCTCGTTCCGGTTTTGCACTGATGCGCAGAATTTGGCATTCACAACAGACGAGCCTCAACAATAGTTAACAACAGCAGTCTGTGCCTAATCTTCAGATTTCCTGCTAAAAGTACAAAAAGTGTCAAATCCACTATCATCAAAAGTACTGTATTTTCAGAATAAAATTTTAAAATTCAACGAAGATTTTGGTACTTTTTAAAAATTGCACTTTTTTCGCCACTCATAGGTAAATAAATGGGAAGAAAGTAAAAATAATCTACAGTATTTTGATTTTTACAGACGTTAAATGCAGACTGACTTCAGCTGAATTACTTGCAACCAGATGCCCCAAAAAATCTTCTCGAGGACAATACCCGAGATCTGATTAAAATACGGTGAGACCCCCATATGCAGACACCTCGACCTGCGGACAATTCGACATAGGGACACTTATTTTATCATTAAAATTTAATTTAAAAGGCCCGACATGAGGACACTGATTCGACATAGGGACATTTTGTTATGAAATTGCTGATACATTTCAGGCCAAATTACAAGAAACAGATATTTCCAATCTCAAGCAACAGATATTTCCAACCCTAAAATTGATGCAAGAAAAGTTCTTAGGCATTTCTCTCACCAATGTACCATCCATTTACCTAATTTAAAAAAAAAAAAACCTCCAGCATAGAGAGACTTCCTTCTCTCTTTTTTACTTAAATGTTATTTTTACAGAGAATGCCAACATTTCTTTGCACTGTGCAGAGGTATCCGTATTCAATTCCCCAAATGTCCATATTGTGTTGAAATATATTCATTGGAATCAGTTTAAATTGGGAGACAATTTTCATTTTAATGGAATTATGGTGAGTATTTTGTACATAAAACACCAATTAAAAATTATATAACGTAAGTCTAAGGGAAAATGAGACTCGACTTAGGGACATTTCGACTTGGGGACTGTTGATGCACCAATTACGTCCGCATATCGGGGTCTCACTGATATTTCCACGATATGATCTTGCCAAGTTTCGAGTCAGTGATGCTGAATATGGAAGTTGTCACAAGATGTCATTTGTTGAGCAAGAACTCTCCAAATTCCGGGTAACGGTTGAAGCAAGCGTTTAGCTAATGAGTCATGGCTTCCTTCAATTTATTCATTTATTTCATGGTGGTTTATAAAATCCGAAGAAATTATTTTCAAGGCGCTCCAGGGACCATGTTTTTTGACAATTTTTTTTAATCTGCAAAATTTCGAAATCGAGGAAATGGGGGAATTTTTCCGCTAAAAATGTACCCAGTTCGGAACCGTGCCGAACAACGGAGGAGAGGGGAATGGCAAAACACGGAACTTCTCGCCTTTTTTTTTCAGGCACCAAAATCAATTGGGTGCAGGAACCATTTTTGGATTGGAAAAGAATAAGAAGACGAAGAAGAAATTCCAGACTCACTAGCGTCGGCGAAACTCGCAAAAAATAAGTACGGCGAATTTCCCCGAGTCCAACTGGACATATCACCTGTCCGCGATTCGTTGGCCAATATTTTCAGCGGGCATAATTTTCTCATCTTCCCGACCGGACACTTTCGACAGTCGGAGCAACGCGGGGGTATTTAAGAAAAAATAAAATAAGAGATAGAACTTCACTTCAGCCCGCACATGAAACTATTCCGAAATCTCATCACATTCCAGTTCATTCCTGGCGGAATTCGCTAAATAATGGATGAATGAGTGAATGAATGGATCACTGTGTTCTTCTGCGAAGCAAGGGCAGAGAGGATTTAAAAAAAAAGGAGAGACAGGAATGGATAGCGATGAGATGAGATGGGATGAGGGTGAATCACGGATCGTATCACACGCTTGTCCCTCCTTCGTTTTCCCACTGAGCAGCCTTGTCCAGCAGACACACGCATTTACGATCACGACCGCACTAGATTCGGTATCGTCTTCCTAGTTCGGACAGGTTGTTTTTCCCCCAACTTGTCTCAATATTGTAGCATTCAAAAAAATAATTTGGCTTGAAACCAACAATACAATTTTGAGGTGGATCTGTTCATGAAGGTTTTTTTCTTTTTTCCTCAATCAAGATTTGAAATTTACATTTCGCAGCTAAAATTTTAAATTTCCATTAAACGCGCACTTTTTCTTGAAGATGAATTTGTTTCAATTAATGAGATGCGCAATTCTTCGAAACTAGTTTTGTTTTTCTCCTCCGAAGATATGAATTCCGAGGGGGAATTGGAAATCATTCACACAAATACGCAGAGGTAACCGGAATAATGAACGGCTCGGATAAAGGACTTTTCGCTCAATTAATTTCGGCTGTCGACGATTTTTATTTTGGATGCTGTTGCAATTAATAAGCTGAAGAATTGATCGTCGTACAAAATCCCGTTGCTCTGAGAAATTCGCCCATCGGCATAATTTTAAGGTCGATTGAAGTTTTGATTTCTCCCGAGGGCTGTTTCCTTCTTTGGGAAGTTTTGCATTTATTTTATAATTATGCCATCGAAATGTCACGTTTAAAAATGCGTACAATTTTAACTCGGTTAGGTATTTAAGAATCCATCAAGGATTTCGCAAAGGGATCTTGAAGGGGTTTGTCAGTCCATGAAGCCTCTAATTACAATACTTGACTCAAGGACTCTTTGAGAATTAGGAAACTTAGGTCTGCCATTCCAAAAAAAAAATCAAGTGTCTATTTTTATGATACAATAGACGGCTTTGTTCTCATAAACGTCATTATAAATTTGATATAGAGAAATCACGAAAAATGGATTTATCCGAAGACATGTTTTGAGACGTCCAATTTTGTTTTGAGAATTTTGAAATACTACGCGGGTATGACTTAATCCTTAAATCCAAATCACCATTCTCAAATATTTACCAATTTTCCACTTCACCCAACATTAAAGAAGTTACAGTACAGTATTTGAATCTAGACCCTGGATTAAATTTATTTGGCTAAACGGAAGGGGCAACAAAGAGAAAATTATGAACCAGTTCCCAGGAATTCTGCGACAGGATCATGAAAATAATGCACAAGAAAAACTGTACTGATTCACACTCAAAAATAAACCAATGCAAAATTCACTGTCGCTGAAAAGCAGGCGTAATTTAAGAATCGCCGATATTTTTATTTTCCTATTTTGTATGTCCGAATCTCCAGTATACGACTTTTAAAAAAAATGACGGAGTTGCTCCGCCGTTAAAAAATTAACCACAAGAAGGACTTCGGGAGTATACTGTACTTCGCTCCATTCTTCGCTCATTAAGACACACTCAACGGCGGGAAATACTGTATATCATCAGAAAAAAAAAATGCAGAAGAAAACTTCACAGTCCCTAAAGACAGAGAATAGTGATATATAGTACTGTACTTGTATCTCCGGTTCCTTTCCTTCGTTTGCCTCGCACGCATTTCCCCATCCTCACAACGACGCTTTTGAAAAGCACCAGCGTCGCATTGGCGCCACGAGCTTTCCTCACCACGTGACACGCGAGTCAATTCTTTCCTTTTACCCTGTTGCAACTGGAAACTTGTACGTGAAAAAAAGTAATAAAAATTTTGGCAAGCAAGCGTGCCTTCGAGTCAAAATCACAAACATTTTCATCTTCGGATATGTTACGATCCCTTGAAAATTCAAGACGACGACTCCACAAACTACATCTTCCTTTTTTTAAACACAATATTTTTAGGATGCCGTACCTCTCATTTCCATTGTTGTAAAGCAAACACCCAACACATCTTACATAATGAAGTCATGAACTAAAGTGAGACCCCCAGATGCGGACATAATTGGTGCACCAAGAGTGTCCCTAAGTTGAATTGTCCGTAAGTCGAGTCTTGTTTTCCCATAGACATACGGTGCATTATATAATTTTTAATTGGTGTTTTATGGAAAAATGTTCTTCGGAATTCCATGAAAAAAATTTGTTCGCCAATTGAATTTGATTCAGTGAATATATTTTCAACCCAATAAGAACATTTGGAGCATTGAATAGTACTGTACTGTATACCACTGTGCAATTCATTGAATTGTTGGCATCTGTAAAAATAACATCCAAGTCACAAAGAGAGAGAAGGAAGTCCCTTTGTGCTACAGGTATTTTTTTCAATTAGGCGGGAAAAGAACCAAAGAATTTTCTTGCATAGATCTTATGGTTCGAAATATCTGTTTCCTGCAATTAAGCCTAATCAAAGTCAATTTTCCTAAAATTTATTAGCGATTTTCTCATGCAATGTCCTCACGTCGATTAGTGTCCGTATGTTGGGCCTTTTTATGATTTTTTATTGAAAAATAAATGTCCCTATGTCGAATTCTCCCCATGTCGAGGTGTCCGCATGTGGGGGTCTCACTGTAAATTTATGGAAGTACAGTTACTACATACATGCATCTACAGGTATTTTTATTGGAAATCAAGTCAGGAAAGTAGGATACACGTGGTATGCGGGTACTGTGCACATTTTTGGAAAATAAATAGTGAAATCGACTGATGCAAGTCACAAGTGGGTCTTCGTAGGTGAAAATAATGAACAGAAATTCTGCTTGTCACCGCTCCTACTAGTATAACGACTTAAATTAGTTTATCAAGTAAAATTAACTTTGAGATTTTTTTTCGACGATATGGGACAATTTTTTATTTTCAGCGGGGGTTTGGGTTTTATGAAGGGTTGGGTTTTTTGGCCGATTTCCATCCCAAGAAATCGAGGGTCGCATTTTACTCAAGGGTGCTAATACGGTCATTTCGATTGTCTTTCGTAATAGAGTAATGCCACTCTCGGGATTCAAATTCNGTCACTAATTGCACCAATTTAACCACCTTCTGAAATTCAGACTTTTCTGGTCAGCCGAGACCGATGAGCTTAGAAAACCACTTTTCAGTTTGAAATGGAAAGTTTAACGTTAAACCAAGAAAACTTTTCACTCAAATTGCCTCGGATGCCGGATCATCTTTCATTCTTTTGTTCAGCGGGGAACTGAAGCACGATTTCTAGATTAACATTGTTCGTCAAAACATTGTCGTGAAACATTGTAACATTGTTTCATTGTTCGTCAAACGTTAAAAAAAAGTTCGAAGTGGGTTCATCTACGGTATATTCTGTAAATAAACTATTTTTACAGGATAAAGAGGAGATACGAAATCCCCATGAGACTTCGAAAGAGGATCTCACTGACAACTAACGAATCAACGATCAGTGGACGCAAGAAGATATCACACGAAATTCGACAAGTGGAACATTTTTCAGCGAAACGAAAACAAAAAACGATGTTCTCTCCATCGCTTAACACATATCTTTCTAACAATTAACGGATATTTTACACTTTACTATATTACGAGACAAACGAAAATTTTTTCAGGTCCAAAACGTTCCGTGATTCGTGAATATTTTGAGAATTTACAAGTTACGCTTCAATATTCAACCAATCATGAGTTACAAAATACTCATCCATCATTACTCCGAAAAATCTTCACGAAAAAGGAATTTTTCAATCCAATGACAAACCCCTGATAAAAAATAAATATAAATTGCGAAAGAGGAAGCATTTTCCGCACTTTATCGTGTGCTTCTCTCGTGACAATGGACGATCACTCGACTCCAGTCTACCTCGTGCAAAAACAGTCTCAGGGTTTCGCAAATATGAACAAAGGAAAGATAATGGGATGCATTTCACTTCTACGCCGGAAGTCGTAAATGCGCATCGCATCAGGTATTCTGCAATAATATGTGTACATTGGTATTCCGTATAATGGATTTTTGCACAGTTAACTCTAGCTGTCCCAAGTTTGCTCTGATTGCGAACTCAACTCCGGATGATAGATTCTATAAAAAAAATTGTTTGTCTTCGCGTACACTAGACTGCCAGAGTTTCTCCGAGAAAATCTAGCTGTCAGCATCTTTTTCTTTTCCACGCCAATAAAGGCTTCTTACGCATTCTGGACTCAGTTCAGATTTGTCTCTTTGTTTAATGGCATTGCTGTTACTAATTACGCGTCAAGTTGAATATAATTCAGACGGTAATGTACAGTATTTATGAAGATACAGTAATTTCTACGGCATCTCGAACATAATAAATTCCTCAGTTGAATGACTCTAATGGAAAACAGATCAGATTAGCCATTATGATTAGATTTTAAACTGTTTTCCGAGTCAAAATACTTCACGGAAGGTCGGATTCAGTACATTAACCGAGGAACCATACAAAATCCCAGAACTTTCCCCTTTTTCAATTGAATCTATTTGTTTTAGCAAGAAACCCTTCATGAATAATGCAGTCCTGTATTTTATCCGCTTCGGAATGTTCCTGTTATTAAAATATTCCCCATTTCAAGTTAATCTTTACCTAGGAATTTTTCGTAAGTCTTGAAAAGTGAATATCCAAAGAGATCAGGAAACAATTATTCATTCCATTTGGACTCACTTCACTCAGACCACGGACTTTTCGTAGGTCTGTAAGCAATTATTCATTCTCTGCAGGTTGACTGTCTCAAAAACTACTGTGCTCCGTCTACAACGATTTACTCATTAGAAGTTTTAGAACGTCATTTTTTTTCTTTTTGTTTCATGAGAGGGCTCTCCCATCGTATAGAATTGTTTCGAACACCTGTTCTCTACAGCGAAATTCACTCAACGACAATTTTTTTCCTGCTCCCCTGAATTTTTTTTTTTTTTTTTTTTTAGAGAGTCCACAAATGTAAAGCTTATCGGCACTCGGGTTACAGACGCGAGGGAGTCAACGTCTAGCAAGAGAGGATCACGTCCATTAACCGAGACAACACTGCACACATCACTTCGGGGAATATGCAACCTCACTTCCACAGTTGACACACTGTTGCATGACCTCGGATCCCTTAAAACCCGGAATGAAGTTAGGGCAGCAAGCCGTGAGCGAGCGAATGCGTCGGGCATTGCGTCGTGGGCAGAGTGAGGGGGGGGGGGGGACTGCGTCACATTTCATTTACGACTCGGAAGAATTTTCCGGAACCGTGAATCACATCCCTTCCGGACTCCATAACGACGTTGAATATCGCCCTTTCAAACCCCCACAGAGTCGCTTCAGAGAGTCTGGTTTTACGGCAAGGCCAAGTACCCGGATTTAGTACTGTAGTTGTCGATCCACCCCCACAAAGCCGGTCAGAGCCACGAACTAATCTAAAAAACTTTTTTGAGTCATGATTTGGATCGGGATCATGTTCAGAAACGAGCTTTGAACCTACTCGAATGGTCAACATTTTATAGCACTGTTGAATCTGCAGTAATTATAGATCACAACTTTCCTCGAGCGGGAAACAAGCGTCACTTGGTGAAAATATCAAGGTCTCGAGTTTTCAGCGCCGATGCAAACAGTGATCTGCGATGAGAAATTAGCCCTTTCTATTTTTAAACTGTTCTACGCTTTTTTCACTGCACATTTGGTCAAAATTGAATTACAAACAGAAAAGCGTGAGAGTAATTCACAGTTATGCATAATACAGAAGCCAGTCTGTAGACATTATAATAACATGAGCTGCTTTCATCAACAGCACAGTACTTTCAAAATTTTACCCACAACGCCCGTCTCGAAAGAACGAATAACAGATGCGCAGTCGATAAAATAATCACGCTCTCGACCTAATATCTCTCTAAATGGAACATTTCCAAAGTAATAGTCCGTTTCAATTCATAAAACAAGTCAAAGAAATGTGATGAAACCTTGAGAATCCGTTAAATAAATTATGTCAGCAACCCGACGACAGAATACAGTACGACTATTTAGAAGCGGATAAACGAAATCTCCTGTATTCACGCTAGTACAGGCCACACTTGTCCACAGTAAAGAGCCACGAAAAGACAACTTCATTCATTCGCTCTAAATATTCACAAATATGCACCAACCTGTATCCTTGATGGACGAATCATCGTGATAAATAATGCGTCTCGGGGAAGTGCCAACACTGGATCCGATCCCAGGCACGGAAGACGGCCGTGAAATCTGCACCACCTCCACGTCGTCACCCGATGTCGAGCTGCCGCCGCTCGTCAAACTGCCCGCACTCGCCGGCCCCATCGGCGTGCCCAGCTTCGGACCCATGGCACGCAGCAACCCACCACCCGTGCCCACGGCCTTGCTCGTCGGCGGCATCTGATGATGATGATGTTGATGATGCTGATGATGATGCTGCTGCTGCTGCTGCTGTTGTTGTTGTTGATGATGTTGTTGTTGTTGCTGGTGCTGCTGCTGTTGTTGTGGCGGCCCCTGCAGCGGCGGCGGTGTGGCCGACAACCGAGTCATCCTAATGCCGAGCCCAGGCATGGCGCTACGAATCGGTCTCACAGTAGACGTGTAAGCGTGTGACGTCACCGGGGGCAACGGGAGTTTGTTCATGGTGGTGCCGCTGATGGTGGACGGATTCGTCGTGGTGGTGGTGGATGTCGTGGTGCCGGACATGCACTTGGACACCGAGGCTGTCACCTGGCCGCCGCTCATGAGTGCAGGGCTCACGGTTCCACCTGCACCACCACCGCCGCCACCGGCATTAGCCGCCGTCGGCAGCCGTACTTTCATGGCGAAAGGCGACACTGTGGACGTCGGCGGAGTTCGCACGCCGGACACGCTCGGTTGCCACGTCATCGTCGTAGTGCTTGACGTCGTCGGGGCAGTGCTGAAACGGTGAAAAAAAAGGCGTCGGTTATTTTTTCAGTGGACTTGATCCAAGAATAAAAGCTCTAAAACAGGGAGTCTCTGAAAAAAAAAACTAATTGGACCGTGGGAAATGAAAACCCAAACTTGAGTCGTGCAATAGTTTCCAAGGGCAACTCGGAAAAAAGTTTCAAACAAAAATTTTATTTTAGACTAGACAACGAAAGCGTGATTTATTTCTTATCTTTCAGCATGATGTTGATTTACTCAATTACTGTACTTCATCTTCTTGATGAATTATTGTACAGTAATCGGAAATAAAAACTTCTTCGGGCCACTATTCGTGGGCTGGTGCACTTCTCGCACTGGAAAAATTGGCGGAAATTATCATTCTTGAAGACGCTTGGGGTTTTTTTTTTTTTTTAAACTCATGCAGACAAATCATCGCGTACCGCCTATCAATGATGATTTATCCATAGCTAAGGGAACACGGGCAAAATTATGAACGAGTGAACGGTAAGCAGGTCCTCCAGAGGAATAAAAAAGGTGATTGAAGAACAAGTCCTTTCATTCTCTAGAATATACAGTATTGCCCATTTAAAAGGTTATTTCAGCCGGTGAAAACATTGTTACGCAGAAATTCAGAGAAATCCGTCGATCACTTTCTTCAGTTACTTATCCCCAAGTTTCTTCGTCGCGAACTTTGACCACAAAGGTTTGACAGAATACGTAAAACACTTCAAGCGCTTCCTTCAGTTCGTGAATAAGACCAACTCCAAAATTTCTCCGAATCCAAATAATACATTCTTGAATTCAGTCAATGCCTTCGATTGAAATAAGAGACATGGGGGTTCCTTGCTCGGGAAGACAGTGATTCGAGAAAGACGAGAAAATCCCACCTATGGTAAGACGTGGCTGGTGACCAGACCCCGGTCATGTTTTGCGTGGACGCATTGGTCTGATTCGGACCGACCCCGACCCCAACGAGTTGGACAGGCACTGAAAAGGCCGG